ATGTCAGAGGTAACAAACACGGCGTTTGATGTTACACCAGTTCAACCACTCACTGGAGGTTTAAACTACAAGATATGGGCTACAAAAATGATTATGCTCCTGGAATCGAAGGATGTGGACTACGTCCTTTTTGAATATCCTGTGAAGTTCAACATGGCAGTTATACAGCCCACTATGCAGATCACAGCTTCATCTGCATCGACAGACCCGAAGTCTACAGGTGCATCCAAAGACCCAAAGTCACCATCAGCGCAAGCTTCATCAGCTTCCAAGGCAATTCGGATAAAATACGAGAAAGATAACAAGACTGCTCGGACAACCATTCTCCAACGTGTTATTACTGACCCGTTGTTCGACATGTTTTTAGAATACAAGTCTGCAAAGGTAATTTGGGATTTAATGATTGAGAAATACGGTGTTGATGATGTAGGGAGACGCAAATATGCTGTGGGTCGTTGGTTACACTTTAAAATAGTAGACACCAAACCTGTAATCGAGCAGGTACACAAGTTTGAGAATCTTGTCGGTGACATGAAGGTAGAAGGTAGCATAGTTAATGAAGTTGTCCTGTGTGACTCCTTGATTGACAAACTGCCTGATTCATGGGTGGACCTCAAGAACAAAATGAATCATGACCGAAGAAATTACACACTACAACAGCTGATAAATAGCGTGAATATCGAGGAAGAGAATCGCCTGGTTCAAAGGTCTGTTATTCTTACTGACAATGTTAAAGCCAATATTTTTTAAACTAACACTGGCTTTGACATGGCAAAATCTGGTGGCAGCACTAGAAACCAAAAGAAAAATTATAATAATAATAACAATACCAATCATGTCAAGAGCGGGAAAATTCAGAAAAAAAAAGGGAAAAATAATGGTGAAAGTTATGTGTGTGGGAAACAAGGCCACCGTCTTCCCAGTGCTATCACCGCAAAGGAGCCACGAGTCAGAATGGTCAGAAGCCAAACAACGAAAGGCCTAAAATCAAGCTAACCTCACAGAGAACACGGAGAATGCTGACATAGTAACTGCAGTAATAACAGAGGCCAACATGGTAGAAAATCCAGACGAATGGGTTGTGGACACCGGAGCTTCACGACATTTCTGCTACAATAAAGCTCTATTTAAAGATTTTGAGTCTATCACTGGTGGAGAACAAGTGTTCATGGGGAACTCCAGCGTTTCCGAGGTAATTGGTAGAGGAAAAGTAGAATTACTACTTTGTTCTGGAAAACATTTATTATTGCAAAATGTACTATATGTCCCTTCCCTTCTAAGAAACCTAATTTCCGGAGGCCTGCTAAATAAGGCTGGAATTAAGATGGTTTTTGAGTCTGACCGACTGGTTATGACTCGTTGTGAGAAGTTCATTGTGAAGGGATATCCGTGTGGAGGTCTTTTTGTGCTAGATATCTCTATAGTCAAAAATCACTCTGATGTAGCTGGACCTTCTGTGATTACTTGTGATAATAAGAATGTTTCTTCTGCTTATATTACTGTTTCAATTAATATTTGGCATGATAGATTAGGACATGTTGGTACAAAATGTTTAAATAGACTGAAAAACGTGAATATGCTGCCAAACTTGTCTAATGATACATGTGAACAATGTGAAACGTGCGCTGAGGCAACATTTGCCAGAACATCTTTTTCAACTGTAAAACATCGTACTTCAACTTTGCTAGAATTAATTCACACTGATTTAGCAGACTTTAAGGCCACTGAAAGTAGAGGTGGCAGACGTTACTATATTACGTTTATTGATGATTTCTCCCAATATACAAAAATATACTTATTGGAATCAAAAAGTGAAGCCGAACAAAAGTTTGTTATTTTTAAAAATAAAGTAGAAAATCAGTTGGAAAAAATGATCAAAAGGCTTCAATCCGATAGAGGATGAGAGTATGAATCAAATTTCCTGAAAGATCTGTGTGAATCTTCTGGCATTATACATGAAGTAACTGCACCCTACACACCCCAACAAAGTGGCATAGCAGAAAGAAAGAATAGAACTCTCAAAGAGATTATCAATGCTATGTTAATCAGTTCAGGTGCTTCTGACTCTTTGTGGGGGGGAAGCTGTTTTAACAGCAAACCACATTCTAAATGAGGTCTTGCACAAAGGGTTTGAAAAAACCCCTTATGAACTGTGGAAAGGGCGTGCACCTAATCTTAATACTTTAGAGTATGGGGCTGCTTGGCAAAGGTAGGACTCCCGTCCTTCAAAAGGCCCAATTTGGGACCTAAAACCTTAGATGTCGTCTTTGTTGGGTATGCTGAAAATAGTGTTGCATATAGATTTATGTGTTTGAAAAACCGTACAATGTGTGAATCTAGAGACGCTATTTTCTTTGAACACGTGTTTCCGTTGAAGGGTGCTAGTGATCTAGATGCTAATAAACTTCAACAAAATCTTTCTTTCCCTGACTTCTCATGTAATTCAGAAGAGTCTAGAAGAAGTAAAAGGCTTAGAATTGAGAAAAACTTTGGTTCTGATTTCATAACGTATGTGACAGAATTGAAAGATCTAAATGAACTTTGTGATCATTTCATATGTCAACTTGTATTAGAAGAAGAACCAAAATCCATTGAAGAAGCTATGCGCTCAGTAGATTCTACTCTATGGAGAGAAGCAGTTAAAAGTGAGTTAGACTCTATATAGTCTAATCGTACGTGGGAGCTAGTGAATTTGCCTAAGGGTTGTAAACCCATAGGCTGTAAATGGATTTTCAAAAGGAAGTTGAGACCAGATGGCTCAATTGAAAGATTCAAAGCCAGACTGGTAGCCAAAGGATACACACAGAAATTCGGTGAAGATTACTTCTATACCTAATCACCAGTAACAAAAATAGAAACCATACGTGTTCTATTTGCTTTGGCATCTTTACACAGGTTGATAGTAAATTAAATGGATGTGAAAATAGCTTTCCTCAATGGTGAACTAGAAGAAGAGATCTACATGGAACAACCCCCCGGATATGTTGATCCAGGTCAAGAAGGAAAGGTATGCAGACTTAAAAGATCTCTTTATGGCTTGAAACAAGCCCCTAAGCAGTGGTATGAAAAGTTTCATAAAACATTATTAGAGCTAGGTTATTCCACTAACCGCTCAGATGCCTGCTTATACACGAAAGAGGTAAAGTCCAGCATCGTAATAATCTATCTCTATGTAGATGACATGCTAATCTTTAGCTCAAGTATAAGAGCTATAAAAGAGACTAAAAAACCTATGTGACAAATTTGATATGAAGGACCTTGGGGAAGCTGATGTAATACTTGGGACAAAGGTTACAAAAACCGAGAAAGGTTATCTTTTATCTCAAAGTCATTACACGGAGAAACTCCTGAAGAGGTTTGAGAGTTATGATGTAACTCCGGCAAAAACCCCCCCTATGATCCTAGTATTAAATTGTCAAAGAACATAGAGGCAAGTGTGTCTCAAGAAGAATATGCAAAGATAATTGGGAGTCTAATGTTCTTAATGAACTATACTAAACCAGATCTTGCATTTGCTATGAATAAGCTCAGTCGGTATACACACAACCCTGGTAACCCACATTGGGATGCACTGAGAAGGGTACTTCGATACCTAAGAGGCACGATAGACTAGGGTCTTAACTATAAGGGAAACGCAGCTGTGCTCGAAGGGTTTTGTGATGCAAACTGGGTAAATGACACTGATGATGTAAGCTCGACTAGTGGATATGTGTTCACTATGTGTGGAGCTGCAATATCATGGAAGTCAACCAAACAATCCTGTATAGCCAGATCAACTATGGAATCAGAGTTCATAGCTCTAGATCTAGCAAGTCAGGAAGCCGAATGGCTGAGAAATCTTCTGGCAGATGTGTCATTGTGGGGGTGCCTAGCACCTGCTGTTCCCATACATTGTGATTCACAAACTGCCATCTGTGTTGCACAAAACAGTGTCTACAATGGGAAACGTAGACACATAAGAGTCAGACATGAGTCTGTACGGCAGTTGATATTAAATGGGGTGATCACAATGGAATTTGTGAGATCTGAAAGGAATATTGCAGATCATTTCACAAAGGGCCTAAATAGAAAGGCCATCCTTGATACGTCAAGGGAAATGGGTCTGGAACCCTATGAGGTAAGAAATTCGTGATTGAAACCACGTCGGTGGGCAAACGAAGTCACGAAAAGACTTACAAAAGACTATACTCGCTCTGTAGCCGACCTTGGTGGTCTACGTTGAGGTAGACTTGACAGAGTTGAAGGTCTGTATTGGAATAGACCAAACAGGGAATAATTCGAGGTCAAGAGTATGACCACACATAATTCATGACGACTAGAGCGAATTAAGTGCATTTAAGTTCAAACGTCGTCTATTCGGTGAGTTCAAGATCTAATTCACTCTCGCATAGAGAAGTACTTAAGGTCACTATATGATAGTTCAAGTATTATACACTGGCATGAAAATTTGCTCTTGTTCGTGCTCAGGAAATTTTAGCACCAGCCCAATCCCTTTTAATGGTGGGGGATTGTTGGGAGCATTTAAAGGGAAAGACTCTTGTCTTTACCCAAGTTGTAACACTCCCGATTTCCAGGTCATTTTAAACTTAATTATGCAAGATAATCTAACCACAATATAAGCAAAACACAGCGGAAGTCTAACTATATAAAACTGGAAAACGAAGAGTGTTATGCCACGCCCCCACTAAGGTGAACGCACAGGCGAATACTGCATATATAAGTTTAAAGCCAAAGATAAAAGTCAACCACAAGACTCTATATCACTCATAACAAGAATAAGGGGAACACATCCCAAGACATCAAGACGTAACAATGACAACACAAGTAAGGCTCAAGGCGTATTCTACCATCACTCAGTAGAAAATCACCCGACATACTCAACACAAGAGAATAAAGACACATATTGGCAACACATGCCTTCGTGACATTACTCGTCACAAATAGAGAAACACACAACGGCAACTCATGCCTTCGTGACATCATACATCACGAATCAAGAATCCTTCCTTATGCCTGGTTCCAACCTTATGGCTACCCCAACCTTATTTCTAGTTCCAACCTTTACCTCTAGGACCCCTGTACTCCAAGTCCAACCTTATTCCTCCGAGGACCGTCGTCCCCACTCCGACAAACTCCAACAAGACCACCAATTTCATAATACACGAGGGTACCGATCGCACACTTTGGCAGCACACCTCCCAAGAAATACGTGAACCCATCACACAGGTCACGAACTCCATAATCACGTCATGGCCACCACGGCCACTGCCGTACCTTGGTGACTAATGTCCCATTCCATTAATCGTGCAATCCAGGTATAGCCAAACACACAACACCGTCAAAGGAATCAAGCAACGGATCACAACGAAGATATGAAACCATACTCAACAAGGAAAGGATCACAATCCAACAACAACGATGATCAACGCAAGTTATCATCCACAATAGGAAAGAACAAACAACACACGCTAGCATTTCAACACCGAACTAGCATGCTTATCAAACGGGTAAACAAAACATAGTTCCGAAGAAAACACAAGACTCATCATGGTTCAACGAATCACAAGGTTGAACACTTAGCACGATTCAAGACACCAAAACCTACATGGAATCCTACCATATAGTTCTAGACATATGAAACATCAAGAAGACACTCAAAAGTCCAACAAAAAAACATCGGGAAGTCAAAACATTAATTACCGAGTCAAAAGAATCACGGGGAACAAATATCCAATCATCACCACATACGT